GATCAAAGGTTTTAAGGGTGTTAATTTTAGCTTTATTTGTTTCCACTTCTCTAACAAAACGTTTGTGTGTGTTTAACTAGAGTATTTTTTAATTTAAAATATATTTTTTTAGGGAGTTGTTGAACAGTTCACCTACACACCTTTTGCCATGTCCAGTTTCTACTTTGTCATGAGCATAATGGAAGGGAAGAATACTGAGGAAGCTAAGGCGGAAGTGAGAGCTAAGTTCTTGCCGACATACAAGGTACAGAAATGACTGCCACATTTTTATACATTTTTGTAATCAATAAATTCCAACCCTTGTATAAGTTACTGTAGTACTGGGGCAAAAAAGTTGTACCCTAGTAGCTAGGAGGACCTTTTATTATAGGAATCGATAACAATAATATTTTAAAAGAATTGACTCTTGTATAATTTGCAGTCGATAACTGTAGATTCGTTGACTCTCTCTTGTCCGAACACCTCGAGACTGGAACCTTCTCTGATCTAAAAAAAAGTCAAGCCATCAGAAGTTAGTGACTATGAAACAATATTTTCTAAATCATGTGTGCAAAATAAGTTAACTAGCCTACCTAGCCTACATTAATCTAATCAATCACAAAGGAATAATAGCTATTTACATTACAAGTGTAGTAAGACCGTTTTTACATCACGCAGGTGAATGTTGTGCAACGAGCGGAAGCGATTTGCATAATTTACGCTTATTGTGATGTAAACACACTCTTGCGGAACGTGTAACGTACGGTACAAGATTTTACCTGACCCGACAATAAACAGGGGGTTACGTGCAATATTTTTCACTATTGATTTCACTCATCTTCTAACAGTAACGTTATTTACAAACAATAGCTAGGTTGGGAAAATTCTTAAAGCATAAAAATAAAATTCAAGCGTACAGCTGATTTATAGTGTGAACGTCATTCGCTCCATAGAGGTATATTTTTTTAAGTTGTGCACTCAATGTTATTTAAATGGGTTTCATTACCTCACCGAGTGAGATTTTGAAACTTTACTTCTTATACCTACATCACGCTTGGGATAGGGAAGTTTAACATGGCAGGTTAGGTAAAACAATAAAATTAAATAGGTCTACAGCTACCAAACACCGCTAAACAAACCTTTGGTTTTCATGGCTTTGGAAAAACATTACGAGCATGCGAGTGTGTGAGTCCTTTTCAGAAGGCATCATAAATCATCCAACGATTGATTCAAAGGAGTCAAAACAAGAGCCATAGTACTGTTAAACAAACTATTTTAGTGTCTAACTACCTTTGATTGATAAAGGTATTCCGTTCCTATGTCAAATTTTTGCTAGTTTTTATCCATTTGCGGTCAAATGGCGAGTATAGGTTGCCGGGCGCCATTTTAGCAGTCGCGAAAATGGCGACCTATACTCGCCGAAAAATGAAAAAAAAATTTTACCTCAAAAGGTTAGTCAAAACGGACACAGTTAAATTTCGCCAATGACAGATATAAACTACTGATTTCTGTGGAATAGGCCTAAGTCTACTTTTTAACCAAATTAAACTGGTACCCGTAGGATGACTTATTGTAAGCTATGGCTTCTTTTATGTCACATCAACCGTCTCAGTTAACGAAAATTATAACCTTAGACTATGGCTCTCTGTTAGTGGCTCATTGAATTACTTTAGTTGTTCAATAAAAAATTGGCTACAGCTGGTCCATATAGATGGGATGTCTACTTCAGTATCCAAAAATCAAAACCATTATCAATGAATACAATCCTCTAAGAAGCACATTAACAAGTCAGTCTGGGAATATTTGAATTTTGGATAGTTCCGGCAGCGGCCGCTAGGTATATCGCGAGCGCCCGGCCAAGTCAGCTGACTGAGTGAGAGAGATAGTGAGACAAAGAATCGGCTTAGAGATAATTTGATAATAATTTATTTATTTATCCTGCCCTGGCTTAGACCGAAGGTCCACTCTTCCGCCAGGACAGGCTCCACAATTTTACAATGTTTTTTTCTAATTACAAACTGTTTAGGTTTAACCACTATTTATAGAAAACACAAATATAACATATTATACTATATTCTTATTTAAAAATAAAATTAAAGTATTCTTCCCTTTACTTTCTAAATAATACATCACTTAATAAAAAGAAAATATCGTTTCAGTTAATGTTCTACTTTACAGATTGTTTTGTTCTTAACTATTATCGATTCAGCATTAACATTTTTACCTTTTTTGTAAAACTGTTTTCTGATTCTAAACTTTTAATACTATTGTCTAGTCCATTCAAAAGTCTTATTGACGTCACAACAAATGAATTTGTGTATGTTTGAGTCCTATGAATGGGAAATTGTAAGATTTCTAGATAGAGAGAGAGATAAAGTAGCGCATGCCGCCGCACGAAGCTCATTTCGCCGGCAAAATGCCAGTCTGGCTATCCTCCATTTTAAGCATTTTGTTTCTTAAAGAGTCAGTATTCATTTCCGCCACCCATCAAATATTAGTAGACTAATATTTGACCCCTTACAGCAAATAACATTAAAGTAATCAAACTACATTCATAAAGCAAATATTGATAGTTACTTTACCCTTTTTCAGGTGGGAGCTCCAATCTGGCCAATAATTCAGACATTTAACTACACTATGATCAAGGAGAAAAATCGAATCGTGTTTGTCAGTTTCTGCAGCCTCATCTGGACGTCTTTCTTAGCCTACATGAAAAGTCTAGAGCAGCACGAAGTTCCCGGAATCGTGAAGCTGGAGGGGGAATCTCCAGCTGCGAAGAAACTCCGTGAAACCCACGAACAATCGAACGACAAAAGTTGGATCGTACAACGTCAGAATGACCGATAATGATCGTAACTTTTAGACAATTTTATATTAATTTTAACAAAATTATTATACATGTTGAACAAATTTATTTTTGTTATCCTAGTTATATGATTAAGTTTACTTGACTCCAAGTCATTAAAATCATTGTACAAGTTAAAAATATAAGATAGATGAGAATAAATTCTATATGTTTGTTTAAAAGCAGAAATTGTTTGTTTATTTTGTTATGAAACATGGTCATTTCTTAATAACGTTTTATAGCCTAATAAAGTGTGCAGAAATATTTTTCTAAAATCATTTTCATAAAAGATAATGGAAATTCATAACAATCTTAAATATTATACTCAACATCACGACGTTTTGGGGTCTACCGAAATAACCTTATTCCATTTTTTATAATGACAGCTATAAATATATCTAACTTTTTACTTTACCAGAATTTGTTCAATGTATTTTGGTTTTTAATTTCATCCTCTCTCTACACATTCTAGTCCTTTACAACTATAGGCCTACTTATAGTGCTTTCATTCCTCATGTTATAGTATTTTAGTTTTTATCTGTCTGTGGTATTAAATAGTATTTAGGTTTATTGTTGAACCGACCAGTTATTTTTTACTGTGAGTAATTCCAATGGTTTCCTAGATTATTGACTTTCAAAGTAATTTAAGGTTATTTTAAAATAGAATTTTCTGATTTCATGAATAGTACTTAATTGAATTACAACCATCCTGCTTTTACATAAAAAATCAATATTCAAGATACATTTCTTGGTAACGAACCTTAAAGGTAAAAAATAAATATTTTCAAAGAAACCTTAATAATATAATGTACTGTCCTTGACAGAGTAAAAATGTCCGCGAATGATTTATAAGCCAGACTGTTTGACTTCTTTCTTAAAATAAACTTGAAGCCTTGCCAACCATGTGTAAGCAGCTGGCAAAATGTTTCATGTTGAAATTGTGAAAATATAACTTAACCATTGTTATGGGTTCTGAAGGGTCCTTTAGTCTTTGTTTGAACATGATTTTAACCAAATTTCTATTTTATATTATTTATGAATTTTTTTTAATTCTTCACCTTATAGTGTTCCTAACCATCTACTAGTAGTGAGATTTTTTGTGCCTTGAATTCTTAAACAAGGTAATTGAAAATTACGTTTAGTGAATTTAGAAAACTGAAAATAACAAAGCAAATGTTTACGTAATTACAGCTTATTATGAAGAGTTTTTGACAACCCACCGCTTTTAGGAACAAAATTAGTTTTAAATATAACCGAACCTCACTTAAAATAGGTACTTTAAATGTTAACCAAAATATTGTGTGCTAGTTGTCTTAGTGGATTTTACCATTTAAGTGTTCATTGCAAATCTCAGGTATGCTTATAAAGTAGTATAGAATTTTCCCAATCAATTAAAAAATATAGTAACTTTATAGGCTCAGCCATATATTGAACAAACCCCGAGTGCATTATCTTTATGAGTATTGAGTGATAGATCTAATGAACAATATTTTATTTTATATCCATACACTGTACCGTATCTGAAGTATTTGTTGTAGTTATAGTTAATTAGCTTTTGTGCTCTTGTGATATGATTTTTAACAATAAAATATTTATGGAACTGTTTTCATGTGTTTGGTACTGTAATATTCCTCTTCTACTTAAATTTAAAACTTTCCTTGGAAAATTTCCACGTGTAAGTTGTTGTTTGGTCATTTACCCATTATCTTTTTAAGCTTCCGTATAACTCTAATCACTGTATTTTGAAAGTCTATGACCTATAACAAATTACAAAACAATTCAATGAAACACATTTACATTCTTTAGTAAAGAAAGATCTCTTTATAATATTGTTCAATTCAGAAATTTATAAATCAAAGGATATCAGACATATAGATATTTTTGCTCAAAATATAAGATATAATTTGCATTATACTCAGTATGGCAGAACATAATCAAGGGAGCTACACTCTAAATACAATTGGCATATAAGCAACAATTCAACACGTGATGGCCTTAACCTTTTGGTGTTATCATACAAGGTCGCTTATTGAATTAGTTATGATAGTGAATTCCACTTATCTAACAGCTGATGATGTAATTTCCGACACGTGCTTAGCTATCAGATAATTGCTTTAAGAAAAGTCACACATTAAAATCTATGAATCAGTCATGCCGAAACAATGATACAGTTTGATTCATCCATACAAGTAAACTATAACTAATTAAGCTTGAATAATTAAATGGTTCAACTTGTAGTGGTTAGTTAATTTATTTTAATGGTAAAATCCAAATTCAAGATACAGTAATGACAATTTGAATCACGTCATAAAAAGTCGTTTTGATGTCAACGAATCACATCAATATACGGTGCGTAAATTATATATTCATAATTGATTCATTTGTTTAAATCATAATGGTACTTTTGCATGCATTAAAAAATTGAATTACCAGGGGCCCATTTCATAATAAAGTGCAAACTAATATAATAAGTAAATCAGCTGATCACCCAATGGAAATTACAAGTTACAAGTTATAACTTGTAACTTGTAGTTTATTATGAAATGGGCCCCAGAATGTAAGTTATAACCATTTACCTTATATTTATTACCGTTGACAAACATATAATTAGCACTGGAAGAGTCCAGCCACATATGAACTTTGTTAAAAATACCTATGATGAAGACATTTGATAACTTTTGCCATAAGCAAAAACGATTGATTATCTATGCACTGCATTGCGCACTTTTGATTAGATGAACTATGAAATAATTTCCATATTATGAAGTATGGGATTATAAGCTACGACTCCCTTACAGTTTTATAACCATTGCCTGTGCTAATGGACTTGCACCTGCTCAATAGTTTTGTTGATATAGGAGGCAGTGGATGTTGCCATGGCAACAGGTTTGTTTACCTTACAGTGTTGTACTTTATCAAATTGAACTACTTGTTCTAATATCTTTGATGTTCAGTGTTTCTTTAAGTTTTATGATATCTTAAAACTCACATAACTAAACTAATTAGTAGCATGAGGTTTTAGGTGTGTTTTTTGAAATGATGTATTTTAATAACCTTAGGGTTAAAGATGGGAACTACACGAAAACCATTTATTCTATGGTAAGAGCAAAATTGTCATTTAATCATGAAATTAGTAAGATATTTGCATGTACGTAATTTAATTAATGATGTACGGTAATCTAAAAATGGGTCGAGTAACAAGACCTGGATTTGGACGGTCCCTTACAAATTAAAAATGAGAAATGGGTGTTTACATATACACAAATAAAACATAACAAAGAAAACCTTTCATGCAAACTATTTTGGCATACCATCAGGATCGATAGAAAGATTGTATAAGACGTTTTTTAATTGCTCACAGGATGGTAGTTTTTACACTGTTAACTCTAAAATCTCTGTAAGCTATGTTAACGCAACTTTATCATTGAGCTTTTGAGAATCCTTCCAGCTTATAAATGTACAAAAATTATTATTTACATGCATTTTACACTTTTATTACTTCAATTGTATGATTGTCATCATTAAATTGAACCTTAGACTTTGTTTCAGATTAAGGATCAGCACTACAACGAGGCACTTCAGATACTAAATGATGTTTTGACTAACAACCCCAACGTGAGTTAAAATGCCATTGTTCCAAGGGTTTAACTTTTAAAATAGCTAATTTACATAGATCAGGGAAATGTTTTATTTTATTGTTTTTTCTCTGGTTTATTTAGACTTTAGTTTAACTACTCAAGAGGAGACTCGTTCTTCACATGAAGTATCCTCGATGTGTAATCGTTCTTTATCATAATCTAATTTAAAATTCCCATGTTATTCTTATGGAGAATAAATAACTATTGTAGTTTGCTTATTCGTAGGTACCTATACTTTTTAAAATAAAATATGGCACTTTAATTTTATACTATACACTTTTGCCTTCCCTGTAGCACCACTCGTTTTAAAACTTAATAGGGAATAAAGTCTGACAATTTTAAGGAAATATTTCATTGAAAATCCAACCAGAAAATAGAAATTTACTTAGTAGGTTTGGTGCGCTGGGGTTATTCTGATTTAAAGTAATTGTGCAACTCTGTTAGTCTAGAGCATGTCTCTCGCTCCTTGCTTACTGCTTCTTCCACACGCAAGACTTCATGAATGCTGCCAACTGCTACGAACAGTTGGTAACACTGTTTCCTGACGAACAGGACTACCAACTGTACTATGCACAATGCTTGTATCAGGCCTGTGTCTATCAGGACGCCCTGAAAGTTGTCAGTCAAATAGAAGATCCTGCATATCATGGGAAGGTAAGTTGACTAGTAGTTGAAGAAAGGGATTTTGAGGAGCTTTTTTGGCACTCCCTCCCCAAATTTGATGGGCGAGTCTCAAATTTCCAACAATAATTAACTGACTGAAAAAATAGGTTATCCGAAACTGCACCCTTTTTAATACAGTTATAAATGGGATTTTAGTGTGCAAAAATATTTTGGAAATAGAAGCTTCTTTAGTAGGGTAGGCTCTTGTTTTGTATGATGTTTTATAATCAGGTTGCAAAAATTAAGTAAAAAAAACTTGATCAAAATCCTGAAAATACATTTTAAGGACACCAGTGAATGAAAAACTAACTGAAAGGAAAAATAATATTTTTTTACTGTAGGGGGCCTAAATTAGAAAATCGATAACAATTACTGGTTTTGACATCATTTATTGTTCCTAAACAAATTTTTCTTCTTACACAGAGTTATAAAAGTAACTTTGAAACACTTCTGCACTCGTACAGTTAAAATTAGGAACGTAACCGTTTTCAAAACAAAGCCATCCAAAGTATGTCACATTCATTTTAATCTTGTTGTAGGGATTGTGAAAAACACAATAATTTTAACAAGTTGGCTACAGTAAGAATTTTAACATATTTCAATCAATCAATCATTGAGATGGGGACGCCACCTAGGTGCGTATTTTAACCGAACTATGAGTGAAGGATGAGTGTAGAATGGTGTGAGATGATCTGTGTAGCTTTGTTACTGACTAAGATCAGCTGTTTTATTAGCCAGGATCATTTATTTCAAGCCCAATGATCAGGAACAGCTGGGTCCAGTTTCAAACCATCAAAAAGCTACTGACTTTTCTCAGGATCGAACCAACGGCCTTTTGATTATCAGGCGAGCACTATAAATCTTCCCTAACTAAAAATTGTATGATGCTCAAAGCAGAAAAATATCACAGTCCTTTCCAAATGTGTTTTTTGTTCATTTCATAGGTAATGAAGCTAAAGGCAGCCATCAAATATGGAGAGGAAGACTTAGTGAGTGCGAAAGTTCTGATGGAGAACAGTTCGGAAGATGATCCAGACACGGAGATAAATCATGGATGTTTATTGTACAAGGTAATTTAAAAGCAAAAAGAGGGAGTAAGCCGGGCAGTGGTGCTTGGGGCTTCAGTCCAGGGCATAAAATAACATGTTAACTGGCAAATGTTAAATTGTGTAAATATTTTAGAGTATTTTCAGCTTCCGTTAAGTAAACATGTGATTAACAATGAAACTGTGATTTCTTATTGGCAGCAGTAAGTGCCCTTATGCATGTGTGTGAGGGACGCTGATAAGATAGCTGCGGTCTGTACTGAATTTCATGTCACTACTTAAATCACCCCTCCCTCCCCCCGAGGTTATGATTTTTACCTGTCTAAAAATAAAGGTTAAAATTTATATTGTAGTTTTTATTTTTACGTAGATACCATTTTAAACATTAATGTTTGTAGTAGTACACTTTTGAAATTCAGCTATGATTTTTTTGCCCAAGAGGTGTCTTGGCCTGACAACGTTCTAGAATACGTAATTAAGTGAGATTATATGGACTATTTACAAGCAAATATAATCGGAAAATTCATTTAAAAGATACGTAGAAATGTGTGATTTTCACTTTAATTTAGCAAAAATTTTCCCAGACCCCCTTTTTGCTGGGGGGTATTGTAAACCCCTCGGACCCCCCGGTAAGTCTGGCGCCACTGTCACCCAATGGAAATCCCTTAAATATGCTCTGTTCAGTCCCAGAGGTCATGGGTTCAAATCCTACCAATCACAGATTGAGTCTAAGTGATAATGCCGTGACCCTCAAGAAATAGACAAAAAATTGTTTAAATGGTTCCTAGAGTCTAGCGTCCTAAGTGAAGGTGGGACACAAAGAAATTCTTTGTTTATTCACTTTGATTTGTAGCAGTTTGTTTGTTTTTTAATGGTTTAAGTTTTTGCTCTTGTTTTTTGATTTGTCAATTGAGATTTTTAGCTGTCTTATCGTATCTATTTTATTTCTGTAATCCACATGATGTTGGTTTTGGCTGTGAAGAAAGATGCAGAGTTAACAATCAATGGTACACTTATAGTGGTATCTAGGACTATAGACTAGGTGTCTAGGGAAAAGTCCAACACCCTCCCCCCCTCGCCATCATGTACTACATCGCTCATGGTGGAGGAAGACCCTTTGTGATAGGAATTTACGCACAGTGCTCGCCGCTGAGGCTTTTCCTTGCTCGTCACAATGTATTTCTGGCACAACGTATTAGAGCTGAAAGCGCACGGTCGTCCCATAAGCAAGATTCCTCTGTACCTGACTTCTCTATATGGTTGATATTAGTTTTTTCAAGTGTTTTTATGCTTTAATATTAAAGTTTATCTTGTGTTGTAGGAGATGAGGTACGAAGAGGCTCTTCAGAAGTTTACAACAGCGCTGGTAGTATTGGGCTACAACCCCCACCTCTCGTACAACGTTGCTCTGTGCTACTACAGGCTCAAGGAGTACGCTCCAGCCCTCAAACATATCGGTAGGAAATTTTAGATGAAAATTTTAAGCATTATATTTTTAAAGTAAGATGCATAAGATAAAAATATGCTCTCACGTTGATGAAAACATTAACTAGTTTTGCTGATGATTCTTACTCGGCAATCGATTTTTAAGAGTGTTTAAGTGTTGCTGAACAGAAATGTAAAGTTTAGCAGTAATACAGCGTTTCATGCATGAAATCCACCTAACCTAACACCCTGTGTAATAGAGGAAGAGCAGTTTCCTTTTAATATGTTTGGTCTTCAATGATAATTTTAATTTTTTATAGAATTCTTGGTCCAACACTGTTACAAACCATCCTACGTTAATCTTGGTCTGTGTTATTTTTACAACATTTAACACTAATGAGAGATCTAATCCATTGACTTCATAGGTTATTGATGAGTTTAATGTTTTTCCTTGTAATGAGTACCGTAGGGACAATCCAATTTAAAAGTTTTGACAAATCAATGGAGAGCTAAATGTTTACCAAAGCTATCTCATGTTTGATTAGATGCATAAACTACAAATAAATAACTTCATATCAACATATGGTGTAAGTAAGCTAATTAAAACATTCCTATCTATCACAGCCGACATAATTGAACGGGGAATCCGTGAACATCCAGAACTGAGCGTGGGAATGGCGACAGAAGGCATCGAAGTACGAAGCGTGGGTAACACGTTGACACTTCATGAAACGGCTCTCATTGAAGCGTTCAACTTGAAAGCTGCAATAGAATACCAGCTCAACAATAGTAAGTTGATTTGAAAGGGGTATAACAATCAGTTTCCTCATTCCTTTGGTTCTTGTTGGGTACAATAATTTTAGTGCCGGTGCCAGAAAGCGCCCCCAAAGAGTCTAAAGCCCCCTCCCCCCAACATTCGACCCTGTAAAAATAAATTTAAACATACATTTTGTCTTTAAAACATAACTGAGCTTTTTGGATACAGTTCTAGACATTGAAAAAGTATTTAGAAAGTCACCAAACAGCTTTGAAAATACAAATTTTTCCAGGAGAGGATCTCTGAGCCCTGAGCTCTTACCCCCCCCCCCCCGGAGCCTCCTGACAATTAAGGTCCGTCACTTCTCATTGGGAAATATTGATAAGTAAACATTAATAAGTGTAATAAAATATCGCAAAATCGACATAATTTTTATAAAAAAGTAGGAAAGTAGGACAAATGGTAGGACTTTTCCTACTTTCCTACTAAAAAGTAGGAAAAGTAGGACGACTTGGAGGCCTGTAGAACTGCCACTGAGTAGAGGCCCTCACATTTGACCTTGGCATAACTGATCCTTCAGGACCTAGTGTCTTATATTGTGGCCACAGAACTCTTAGGGTGTTGCGCATGAGCACAAGAACCCTTCTTCCACTCACGTCACCACAATTTTGAACAGTCATCTCTATGATTAATTGCCATTGGATTAATTTGAAACCAATAGCGTCTAGTGGTGTGACTCTCACAGTTGTTGGGAGACTTTTCCCTCCCTCCTTCTCTACATGCCGTCCTAAACCACTAACTATTCATGCTTCACAATTTGTTGTTATTAAAGGTTATTAATGTTTCCCTATCGTTATGGCAGTGGACACAGCGAGGGAGGCATTGACGGACATGCCTCCTAGATCAGAGGAAGAGTTGGATGCAGTGACCTTGCACAACCAGGCGTTGATGAACATGGAGTCTAAACCACACGAGGGGTGAGTCAAATACGTTCTCATTAATACTACTTAGCACCAAAGTATATTAATTATAGGTACATACATATACATTATGCATTGATTAACCTCTCGAATACCTCTGTCTGTCGTGTGACAGAGATAAATATACAGAGACTGGTTTTGAATTTCTTTTCCTTCCTGCAGGTTCGAGAAGTTGCAGTTTCTATTACAGCAGAACCCGTTTCCTCCTGAGACCCTGGGCAACCTACTGCTGCTGTATTGCCGCTACCAGTGCTACGACCTGGCTGCCGATGTGTTGGCTGACAACGCGCACCTCACTCACAAGTATCTGTCTCCTGTGAGTGCGCTCTTTAGAAAACAGCATGAGATAACGACTCAACTTGAACAATCTGATTTGAATCTGAATATCGTTCAGGACAAACAAACCATTATACAAAATCCCTGGCTGTTTCAAAGTTTTACGATACATTTTAATAGACTTGGGTATTTCAAACTTGAAGCTAATAGGAGGTAGTTTTAAAGCAAACAGTACCTAATTCAAAGTTAACTAATAGCAGCTTGAAGTGATGCTTAACACAGCAAAGATCCATTGAAACTCATCCATTTAATATGTGTCTTTGAATTATGGATGGACCGATAAAAGCCCCTCCACATCAGAAAATCTACAAATAGATGTCTTAAAGCAACTAGGACCGCTTTAATAAATGGGTTTTAGGTTGGTTGGAGTCACATAAGGATTAGGTATGGTTATATTAATCCTATGTTGGTCAGTGCTTAGATGATGGGTAGTGTTTCTTCCCACAGTTTACGACTTCACCACTGGAAATACGTAACGGTTTGTTTGTTTGATACAGTATCTCTACGAGTATTTGGACGCACTGATAACGCAACAGTCTTCTCCCGAGGAGGCGTATCGTAAGTTTGACGAGCTCGCCTCACGACACACCGACGTCCTTCGCAAAGCTACCAAGAGAGTTCAAGAGGCTCGGGAATCGCACAACGATGTTGCGGTGAAGAAGGCTGTGGCAGAGTACGAGGACACTCTCGATAGGTTAGGAACAAGTTTACGATAAAATTATATATTACCAGTTTTATTTGAAATGTAATTCATGTATTGGGGTAACCAGACAGTGTAGTTTGATGATTAATGATTATTGAAGAAGTGTCCATGTTATCCGTCAATAGTGGTTTATGGAACACAGTCTAATGGTTTGAGTACGAGACTTCTACCCTTGAGGTCTCTTGGTTCAAATCCTGCCAATCACCTCTGTTTAAGCAATGTGATAATGGTATTACTTTGTGCATCAGAGTCCTCCTTAAGCTGTGGGTCTACTCATCTAGAAAAAACAAAATTATAGTTATAAAATGCTGGGAAAAATATTCTATTGGAGAATTCAATCCACTTGAAAGCCTTAGACAAATGTTGCTGGAGTATGTATTGTCTTGAATCTTAACATGAATAGTTCAACTTTCATGAAATTTTGCTCATCTGCTGCTGTTGAACCATTGTTAAGGACTTAGTGACGTTTCCATTACAATCAATTTGACATTTCAGGACTGTGACTTTTGTTTTTTATTTAAACTCATCAGGGATTTTAAAATCACTGCAATTACAAAATCATGACTATTGTGGATGCAACAACACTTATTCGTATCAGATCTATCAACACTTGGGTATGGGATATTTCCATCCACCCACTTAGAATTAAATCAAAATGTTGATTTTTTAGCCAATAGGTTGTCAAAAGCCTATCAAGAACAGTTCCAAATTAAATGTTCCAAAATGTCTCAGTACCAAACCAGAAATCTCATCCTGATTGCAATATGAGTACTAGATTTGGCTACTCAGCTAGTCAAGTCTTCATACTTTTGAATGAACTATAGCAAAATATCTCCGTTGTTTTAGGTACCTACCAGTTTTGATGTCACAAGCCAAGATATATTGGGACATGGAACAATATTCTCAGGTAACCAGTTTCTTATTGTTTTTCTTCTTCTTTTTGAAAAAGGAACCTCAACACTGCCATCACCATTGGTTATGTTGGTCGCAGTGATCTTAAACCTTCCCAGACCCGAAATCGGGACATAGAACGGGAAAAATTATAGGAAAAAATAAAAACTAATTATCCTTATTTGTGTTTTGTTTTACAAGTATACATAAAATAAATACAATAGAACACTTTATACTGTCAAAATAATTTTTTACTCGTGGCGGATATATCCACTACCTGTCCGCATATGAGTAGAAAAGCAGCGGATATATCCGCCACCCGTCTTTAAAGATATGACCATGACAACGTTAGGCAATAATAAAGAACAATATGTTAACAATAAATAAAGACAACGTAGTGTTAAGCGCGAAACGTCAAGGGGGGAGCGTAGGAGTGGTTGGGGAGGCGCGGGAGAGGGGTATGCACGGGGACGGGAGAGAGAGGGGAGTGCAGGAGTGAGCGCAGCCATGGAGAGAGCAGGAAAGTGGCGCCTTGGTAACGCGAAACATCTGGTTACTGCTCAAGCACCTGCCAGTCCGTCTGAAGAGAAGGCGGATATATACGCTTCCCGTCCGGAACATCAAAAACCATAAGCGGATGTATCCGTCCCCCGTCCTTTATCGCCAAAGACCTAGGCGGATATATCCGTCACCGTCCGGGAAGGGTTAAGACAGTGAAGTGCCATTAATTTGCCAAACTCGTATTTTGATAACAATGATAAAATCAGCAATCTGGCTTATCAGGCCCGAGACGTTACCTTGTTTGGTATCACATCTAATTACTGATACTGAATTATTGGATATTGAAGTAGACATCCCAAATTAAATGCATCACCTATTGCCAATTATTTACTTGAAACTTAGTTGCACATAGAAGTAAGGTACAAAGGAAACTTGTTTATGATACCAATCATTCGTTTTCAGCTCTAGTATTTTGTTCAGGTACATACACTCTAGGGGAAATATACTTGTGACGAGCAAGACTGTGCGAAAGTTTCTATTGGTCTTCCTCTCCGTGAGCATTGTAGTACATAAGGGCGAGCGGGACGGTGTTGGACATTGTGCTAGACACCAGCAACTACTAGACACCACTTAAGTGTACAGTTGAATGTGTCTTCTGTACCTTACTTCTCTGTGAGAGTTGAATGAATCTCTCGTTGAGGGTGTTAAATTGAAGTTCTATTTCCTCTTCTAGCGTTTAAAAGTATTATAATTGATCCTAGATGTAAAGAAGCTATCTGGATAGGTCAAAACAATTAATTACCTATGGATTATTTATTACTACTAGCGTATACTACTGTGACGTGGAGAGCCTTTCTTTCATATCCCTCCCACACACCTTTTATGTAGTCAAATATTATATCGTGTTATATTTAAAGGTGGAGAATATATTCCACAAGTCAGTGGAGTTCTGCAACGAGAACGAGACTTGGCGTTTGCACGTCGCCCATGTTCTCTTCATGCAGGACAACAAGTTCAAGGAGGCGGCCGGCTTTTACGAGCCGATCGTCAAGAAACACTACAATAATGTGAGTCTTGTCTGATAAGTTTGTTCACTTTATCGCCTTTTATACAAAAGGAGGTTTTGCCTGAGGTTACTTTTGGAGGTGCAAGGAAAATGGCCTTATTAAACTAAGCTAGACAAGGAGTCGCTGAAAAGTCACAGATTTTACCAAGGGTCTGGGAAAAATTACTGATTTTTGCCTTCATGATCTAGAAGTCGCTGATTTTACCATGTTGATCTAATTAAAGGGTCCTAAAAAGCCTCTGATTCTACTAAAAGGCCTCGAATCTTGGCTTATAAATAGGACAGCGATTTAGAGATAAATCAGGTTCAACTGGCAATAATTTAACATAAACTATTATATAAAACCCTAACTAATTCAAACAAGAAATTAAGTACCGGTAGCCTCCGTATCTAACTTGTCTCTCTTCAGGAACATGCAGCAAAAGATGATGAGCTTTTGATACCGATTGTATTTTATGAGTTTAGTATTTTGAATTTCGTCCCTATGTTTTAAAAACGGTTTTAATTTTTAGATACTCGGAGCAAGTGCGATAGTCTTGGCCAACCTGTGTGTGTCGTACATCATGACAGCACAGAACGACGAAGCCGAGGATTTGATGCGAAAGATAGAAAAAGAAGAAGAAAGGCTTGCTTACGCCGACCCCGATAAGAAGGTTTTTCACCTTTGCATTGTGAATCTGGTCATAGGGTTAGTCTTGATCAATTTGTTAGCATTACTTAACTAGTTCTTAATTATAGTTAGAGTAAATTTTAGTACATAATAGAGAACAATTTAACTAATTCTCATTTAGTTGCAATCCAATAATAGACCTGCAGATACAAAATTGCTCGGGTGTGTTTTGATTAAATTTTATTGCCCAGTATGCAGACAAAATACAATCACAGGAAAAATGTTGGAGTCACATTTTATTTGACAGTTAATGATGCTTTTTCACAGGTTAAGATTTACATGGAAACAATAACATGTTTTCGACTAATCCGTTAATAACCTGTGTAGCCGGTAGAAAATTGAAGTACATATTGAACAGCAATGTTTGGTAATTCTAAGAGCTTGTCTCCCAAGTATCAGGCACAGTTTTTTTTTGGTGAGCTTCACTTGCATGGTTGGTTAATAAAAGGTTTTGTTATAATATATAATACATAATTATGACGCGTGGCGTCTCCCAAGCGCCGAGGCCATAAATTACCAAAGGAAAAATCATGTGAACCAAAAGAAATGCTAAGTGATGCAGAAGTAACACGGTTAATCCTTTCTCTTTTAAAATTGTACAATATGAGTTTAATCTGTGAAGTAGTTAAGGTTAGGATAGGTTAGGTTAAATCCACCTTAAACGTCCTTGAGGAGGAAGTAAAAGGTGACAAAAATAATAATATTGTTCCACCTTTTACTGTCAAAACTAAGGGTCTATCCCGACTTTTTTAATATTATTGAAAAGTAACGATATTTCCCATCTCTAGCAGCAATTCATCTTAAGGCCAAACACAATTTTCCCTTGGCCAATATCTTTGCCAATTCATCAACATTGTCGTCTAAAAACCAATATTCAACGAGATGACTAACTCTCAAATCTTGTTTTAGAACACTCTACTGTGCGAAAGGGAATTACGAGTTTGGAATTTCTCGGCTCATCAAGAGCCTTGAGCCCTACAATAAGAAACTTGGAATCGACACTTGGTAAGTGTTTATTTTATTTTCTAACTGAGAACAAATTATTGTAAAGGATGTATGAAAGTTCATTTTTGAAGAGATTATCTGTAAATAAAAAGGGACCAATGATTCTGGTACCGTACAGTTAATTAGTTTCAAACCAATAACCATGACCGAATTATAACATTTTTGGGAACTTTGATGTTAATTTTGTGCACAATATTTAAAGATTAATGTGAAGTTAGTTTGTTTTCTGTTGTTATTGTGAACTTTTTTACTAAGGACAAAATACAAACAAATCATATGGATGGCCAATTAACATATTTATCACAGATTTAAAGTTTTAAATACACTAACAAAAAACTCATGTCATTCAGGGTTAGAATTTCTTAATCCATTAAATAACCGAAGATAACTTGAGTATTCAATGTACAGCAAAATCAATAGACTGAACAAATAAATTTGTGGTAGATGAACCAGTTATTTTTGTTATTTTTCATAATAAGTGTTATTTGAATTGTAGGTTTTACGCCAAACGCTGCATGCTGTCACTAATGGAGAATCTGGCCAAACATACAATCACTGCGAGAGATACGTTCTTTCAAGAGTGTGTTTCTTTCTTAGAACAGTGTGAAGGTAAGTTGTATTTTTGTTTCAAATACTTTTCCTTTTCTCAACACTGTACTCATCTGATATGATTAACCCCTAACATTTCTTTTGATTATTTAGTGATTTTTTTACAATTTTTATTGTATTTCCCCCCGATTGTTTATTTTAAATGCGTCTCTGCCACCAAGTTCTAACAAAGATGTACATTAGTCTTTACTAATCAATCTTGTCAATGTTTCTTGGCTGTGGAAACAATACCTTAGCCAGCTTGGCCTTTGAGCCAACCTAACTGCCTGTACTGGTCAACTAAAAGCCCAATAGTGTGGATGTTCTAAAGTTGAATCCCGGGTCGTGGCACATACGGGGAGTTGTCAGCCATTTTTTTTTAGAAACTTGTTCAGTAGACTTTTAGTAATCCGGCAAATATAGGACCTCAGTAATCCGGCAGATATAGGACCTAGGTAATCTGGCAGATATAGGACCTCAGTAATCCGGCAGATATAGGACCTCAGTAATCCGGCAGATATAGGACCTCAGTAATCCGGCAGATATAGGACCTCGGTAATCTGGCAGATATAGGACCTCGGTAATCCGACAGATATAGGACCTCAGTAATCCGGCAGATATAGGACCTCAGTAATCCGGCAGATATAGGACCTCGGTAATCTGGCATATATATAGGACTTCAGTAATCTGGCAGATATAGGACCTCAGTAATCCGGCAGATATAGGACCTCAGTAATCCGGCAGATATAGGACCTCGGTAATCTGGCAGATATAGGACCTCGGTAATCTGGCAGATATAGGACCTCAGTAATCCGGCAGATATAGGACCTCAGTAATCCGGCAGATATAGGACCTCGGTAATCTGGCAGATATAGGACCTCGGTAATCCGACAGATATAGGACCTCAGTAATCCGGCAGATATAGGACCTCAGTAATCCGGCAGATATAGGACCTCAGTAATCCGGCAGATATAGGACCTCAGTAATCCAGCAGATATAGGACCTCAGTAATCCGGCAGATATAGGACCTCAGTAATCCGACAGATATAGGACCTCGGTAATCTGGCAGATATAGGACCTCGGTAATCTGGCATATATATAGGACCTCAGTAATCTGGCAGATATAGGACCTCAGTAATCCGGCAGATATAGGACCTCAGTAATCCGGCAGATATAGGACCTCGGTAATCTGGCAGATATAGGACCTCGGTAATCTGGCAGATATAGGACCTCAGTAATCCGGCAGATATAGGACCTCAGTAATCCGGCAGATATAGGACCTCAGTAATCCGGCAGATATAGGAACTCGGTAATCTGGCAGATATAGGACCATGACGCTGCCAGATTACTGGAATGTCATCAATAAAAACACTTAAAATGCACAAAACACATCTGCAAAGATCACGCGATTGGAAACCGCTATTGCTGCAATCGCGCATGACGTTTCTGTGACTTCGGTAATCAATGAAGATGTCTACACAGCTGTGGGGGATGAGTAATTGGAGATAAAAAGGTATAAAAAGGTAGAAAAGGTATAAAACAACAGGTATGATCAATTTTTACTAAGTTTCTCCCTCGCATGGTTGTTAAATAGTTGATAGCTTCTTTTTTGGGAGATTGGCGCTAAAATATGCATATTTCACTGATCATTATTGTTTCCATAATTTTGTATTTGCAGCTCATGGGAAAGACGTTAAGACAGTGGCTGAAAATCCTCTAGAAGAGCCGACCATTCAACATGGAAAAGATACTGTGACTTACGAGGCGAGACTTCTAAAGGCGTTGTTCCTGCGACTACAGATGTTCTGAATGTTTCTATGTTATGTTTGGTTAGTAAAGATGGTTGCATAATGACTCTTTTAGTGAATACTCGAATTCTTCTGCATAAATTAGAGCAACCACTTCTTTCTAATCAATCCCTGTGATTCTACGCTCTTCAATAAAAATAATATGAAATCTTTGGTTACACATTTTACTTACCTTATTGGACCCTGAGAAAACAAAGGTATAAAGAACGAACCATTCAATATTACAGGGACATATCTATTATGTTAAAGTAATTTACAATTGACTTGTGCTGCGGTTTTCATTCTCAACAACAATAAAAGGACAATTCTTTTGTTTACATTTTGATCACAATTGTAAGTAACCCTCGCTAACAAACAAATAAGAGTTTTATACCTTATATTACAAGAATATCGATAGTTCTCCGTAATTATAATCCGATTACATTCAATAATAGTAAATAGTAAGGCTCGTAACATTCCGAATAAATTGAAATAACATGCTATACACGACACTCATATTAAACTACCCTCTGACTAGACGATGAGACCTAACACGAGACGGGGCGAAAATACCGGTTTTATACATTAAATTTCAGAAAGGTATTTTACAAACGCCCTAGCTACATACAGTATAAAACTATAGGCCTGATAACACTCATTCTCTCCAACAATTATAAAAATCTCTAAACTATAAACGGAACTGATTTCGACTAGGCTATGTTATATAGAGAAACAAAGAGAAAAATAACTCACTTAATGTACAAAATATACAATTTACAGTGAATTTCAACTAACGATACGACACTAAAATAGAAATACTTCTTGGAAGTAACTCTCGGAATGTACGCTAAGCAGTCTGCATCGGCCAGGGTTGTCGCTAGACTACGTGCCACAAGCCGCATGCTACTTAGCGAGTGAATAGACTATTTGTAGCTTAAACCATCTCTCGAGCATTAGGAATGGCAGTTATATCATGATCTTGAAGGGGAATATTTATACAGACATTGGAATGAACACTCGCAATGTTTGAAATTTCAAGTAGTAAAGTTCAAGCTTGCTTGACTAATAGTAAAATAAATAATTCACAGACTTAGAATTTAGTTAGCTTATTATTTTTAAGGACTATCATACATAATGTTGTTTATAAATCATATTATCCAAACACCAACTGATTTCAAACACAATAGCCAGTAAACCCTCATTGATCTTAATTCGTATGGATTAATGAAAGTTTGGATTGAATGAAATCTTAATATAAAGAAAGTTGGAGGTATTCTGGGGCCGTTTGGGAAGTCCTATTCCTTGCACAAAATAATACACCTTTTACAGAAAACAGACTTAAAGAAAGTAATAAGTAGATTAAAAAACAGTAAACTATTTGAGACAACACTGTAAATTACAGGGGCACATCTTTAACTTTACTGCACCAAACTTTTACAAACTACTGTCAAATGGCTGTCTGAATTAAGCAAGGTTTGTTTAATAAGGGAAAGATTAATGAGGATTTTCTGTAAATAAAGTTTTCAAACAAACATAACATGTTGGGATATGTAGAACCTCAAGTCTCACAGAATCTAAATCACAATCAACCCTCTGCCAAAATTAGGAAGCTTAGTTAATTAGGAAATTAGGAACAAAATAACTGATATGACTATTGATAAGTTTAACACATTCGCTACCGCAATATTACTAAATTTTTCATTCATATGGACCAGCGACGCACATATGCGACGGCCGGTTCCTACCCATAGACTGCCGTCGCATATATGATGCGACTGCTGGTCACATTAAAATAGACTGACGTCGCATATTTTCTTCAGTGTCCAATGTTATTAAAACGCTTATATCTTCGTAACGGTCTATTTGAAGGCCCTGAATTCTCAGTGGTCTAAAGGGATGTATGTCGCATGTGTGCGTCACTAGATCCGTGGATATGATGATTAGTGACGTCATAAAGATAGTTGGCAAAACTGATATTTATTTTTTACTGGCTCTTGGTCTGCGTGTACTGTTAACCAAGTAACACCTGGTCCATGTGCAATATTAAAACGTATACCTCGGACCATGTCGATGACTTTAGCGTAGCACATATGTGGCGATCAGCAGCGAACGTGTTAAGCTTGTAACCAATCTATTTTTGTTAAATGATTCAGGTGATATAAATTATTTTGTATTCATTCTTCAAATTTATTACAGCTTTTATCAGACTTAAATAGCAATCTAAAAGTTCTCTGATAATAATAAAAGTTATTGTAAAATCCATACCTGAGTTATAAAAGAAAATTAAATTTAAGTGACTATTTAGTTTCTAAAAAAAAACTTATTCCAAAGCTGTTACATCAATGGAATGCCTACTTCTTGGAAAGAGTATAACTTTTATCTGCAAGGTTGTTGAAATTACTCTGACTTGAGTGATGTTACTTTGAGGTTCTACTATTAATAGAAAAATTAAAAAACACAACTCAATAATCTAAAACTTAGATATTAGAGAAAAATATTACTTAACAATACTACATAATCTTTGGAAGAAATCTTTTACTGGTAAATATAGGACAAAAAATAGGCAATAGGCTACATTTTAACTCACAATTCATTAAAACAACAAATTTGAAATATTTTAAACTTCATGGGTTGGTTGTAACAATCATTGCTGGGTTTACCATAACAACTTCATAACGTAATAGTGTTCCAATTGAGTTATGCTAGAATATAGTGAGATTTGTTTGAATAAATACACATTTTACAACGCATTGAAAAATTAATAGTAGTTAAAAAATATGTTCTTTTGAAGATGGTCTACAAGTAGGATCAAGAATAGATTTGAAACAGGAGTATAGAAAGCCCTCTACACCATTTAACTGGCTATAAAATAAAAAAGTTTGTCAAAAATAAAATAATATTCCTTTTTAAAATTTTTGAAGTTTCTATTTATTGACTTATCTTAATTAGTGCTGGATGAACAATGGATACAACGATAATACCGTTATATACTTAGCAAGGATAAACTATTTCCTCAGTTTTGTTCTACTTTACAACCAATTTAGCTCTTCGCAATGAGGCATTTAATTTATTTTTTACAATTTTCAACATGTAGCAATTAGTTCAGGTCTTTAAAAGTTAAATTGAACGATTGTAAGTATTAACTAATAGGAATAGGTAAGAGAAAACGTGTTTTTAAGTGAGCAAGTAATCTAGTATTAAAGTTTAAATAATCTCTGAGTATTGGATTGATAATAAGAATCCATAGTGTTTTAAAATTATCCTTTAGTTACTTCTAGGAGTGTGAACAGCTTCAAACTTACGAGTTTTCCAAAATATTTGGCTTGGTTTAAGATTCGGAATAAAGGATTAATGTGCTGACGAGTTGATAGTAATGAATTAGATTAAATCAAGTCCAGTAATAGAATTAACCCTTTGAGGTCGAATTTCCCCCCCATTTTTTGGAGAGTATATTTTGCCATTCGAGCAGTCGGGAAAATGGCGCCCGGTGGCCTATACTTGCCATTCGACCCAAAAAATTAACTTTTTTGATTTTTGCTTTTTTTTTGTCCTTATAGTATGCCATTTTCGAGCAGTCGGCAAAATGGCGGGCGGCGACCTATACTCGCCATTCGACCGCAAAGGGTTAACAAACCTGTTTTAAACCAGGTTTTAATCATAAAATACCTCCAGTATAAAAATCTAATCTTAAATGTGTTCTAGACTCAAAATTTGAAAGTTATCAGCTTAAAAAAGCTCAAACCTGTAGAATTAGGAAAATATTTCACCTAAAATAGAATAGTAACAGTTCTCACACCCCTAGTAATCTCACAAACATCAAGGATCAAAAAATAAATAAAAATAGCATAGTACAAACTACCAAAAAAGAAGATAAACTAAAACAGCCTATTTCAAAATTCTGTCTTAAACTACAAAAAATTAGGCAAAAAAAGTCAGAAAACTAATTTGTTAAGCCAATAACTACTCGTAAATGTCGTAAACGGTGAACATAAAGGAGTTCACCTCTCTCAGTTTTATCGACAAGACAATAACCTAAGCAAAGGCAACATTATAATAAACTACTATAGAGGCGACCAGCTCAAATGCGAACAAGCTTTCAGAGGCGTCACTAGCGTTCGTTAATACTGTACGTACAGTCGTACCTCCTAGTCATCTCTACCGATATAGTTGTGAGTATTTAATTGACTAGGTCTTGTGTTAAAACGACTATGGCGGCCTGAAACTAATTTTAAAACTACAATACTTTTTGCTTACTTTTACAATTTGGCATGGGGCGTTGGCGTTAGGTAAAACAGGCAGATTTTCCGTTCATCTACAAGGTGACACTTCAAATAGAAGATAATACAAATAGTTTGTGCTCTATTTAAATTTAAGCTTATTCCAACACTAATATATTCAGTTTACAACTGTTAAATATTTAGAAAGGATTGTTTTTATGACTATTGAGGGCCTTGTTAGCTGTCACAGATAATTTTTTTTTAGTTTTGATTTTTCTAATTAGACTACCTGAAAGTCCATTTATACATGTTTTTGTGTCAGTTTTACGTTTTGAATAAGTATTAGTAAATAAATAGTGAAAAACTTACGAGGTTAAACCCTAATGATTGACAGAATCAAATACAGTAGATTGTCGCTAATTTGGACGTCAATAGCAAGAAATACAATTTTGTACCTTCTTTGAAAACGTAAGGACTTGGCAACAAAAAAAAACAAACCACTAACACAGTTCAATAGCCTATCACACATCTTTAAAAGTTCAAATATGTAGTGCCTGATGTTTTTACTGTAGGCTGTACGTATGAATTAAATAGGATACAGTGCTTGAACATAAAAAAATGTTTTAAACTCATCTCTCTTTGGACCCATTAATAGACGTATGATAGAAAATATACAATTAAAAAAAGTTTTTGCTCAAATAGTTCATGCTGGCCCTTTTTAAAGGTAATTTCGATAATCCAATACCAATTAATCCAAATTATTGACGTTCTACTGTATTTTCCAAAAATCAACATTTAACTTTAAATTATTAGCTTGACAATACTTAGAACTTTTGATCTTTGATTTTGCAAGTTTTCTAACAGAATGAATACAAAATTTCACACTAAATCAAGACCTAATTTAACATGGTAGTATTTTAATTAGAAAAATTTACCATTTATTTAGTGTTATCTATAACTACAGAGAATCAAAACTATCATCACAACTATACACTGCCTCTATCATAAAATAGATGAAACACATCTCTATAACACGGTTTTATATTTGCGATTTTATCAAATGTCATAAAAAATATATAGACTGAGTTTTAAGGATGATTATTTTATCAGAAGCATCATGACCACATTCTTATCCTGTTTTAGGAAACCAAGCAAGAAACAAACGAGGAAAAGTCAGGAAAAAATATCCGGTACTGAATCGTTTTAAAGCTCTTATTTCTGCAAGTTTAACGACACTTAGTTTATTGCTGTAAAAAGAATATCTCTTACAATACCTCTTTTACACAATATCAATTGCTTTTAAGTCGTTAGCAAAACTTTACGTGTAACATAACTTCACACATTTGATTGCGTAAAAAATTACAAACAGCGATAATTTACAAAATATAGACACTCTCAGGGTTGCCTTTCCCAATGTCCGTTCCTCCTTAATTATTGTCGTAATTGATGTGTCTGGGGGCGAAATTGAGAAAATTTACGAGAAAATCACACATTACTAACACAACACCGCCCAAGCGAGATTATGGGTTTGTGAAAAATAAGCAATAAGCATTTTGCACCTACTTAGTAGCCCTTACGGACTTATATCTCTCAACAATAACGTCAAACAAGGTATAAACTTTAGGAAAAAACAGCTCAACTTTTTTATTACTAACTACAATATTATAAAATAGTCAACGTAGTGAACACTATAAGTACAATATAGACATGTAGATTTATCGTAACTCTTACGCACACACACACGCACGCACGCACACACTTGTCGACTGTACACATTATTGCTCTGCCAGTGTTAATACCTTCCCTCTCGCTGCCGTCATTCACACCAAATGCAAATATCGTTAAAGCTGTATAAATATAAGTAGACCTGTACCGTCGTCAGCTGGCTACGCTAAGATCAACACAAAGCTCGTTTAGAACCAAAAGATAACTCACAGGTGCTGACTTGTCAATACAGGTCCGGGTAAAGTTACTGTATCGGGTTTACCCTTTTGGAATTTTCACACTTATAAAGAGGAATGACAAAAATTTTGTTGTGATATGTGTAAAACCAAACCACAAGGGCAAACTGTACCAGTACCATGAACTCAGAAAGATGTTTTGTGATGTAGGAACACAAATTTGTAATTTTCTCGTTAATTTAAGTTTTATGTGTTCACAATAATTATTCAAGGGTAAGGAGTCTAAAAGATTACAATAACCTATAACACATATCATGTGAGGTGAGTTCACCAATAAAGCAAAAAAAGTGTAGGTTAAAAAATGACGGTATTTATTCCACAAATGTATCACGATACTTGGTAACAAAATCACAAAATGGTACTGGTACCAGAGCCCATCCAAACTACTCTTAGGATTCAGATTTCAAAGTAAAGTTGTAGTCGTTTAGCAGTGATTGTTCATTTGGTACTATATTTGTGTCACGGTTCTACAATTTGCAAGTGTACATTGTGATAAACAAAATTTGTACTATTACTTAAAATAAATTAGTGTAATCTTAAAAATAGTGATAGTGATGTGATTTAACTATGAGAAGGAATTCAGAAAGCAAATTTGACATATTTCAGTGTTGTTTGAACTGCTTTTAACATGGGACAATTTAACATTACGTTACACAATGGAATGCAATTGACTCTATTTAAACTTTCTGTTTATAGTTGTGTTAGTTGCAAATGATTGTAAAAATAATTTGAACATTGCAAATTAAAATGTTCTTTTACTTGAACACACAAACATTAACCACAAGACATAAACCCCCCCCGAGTCAAATCAATACCATTGGAAAGTACACACAGAGCGTAGCAATATAGGAACCTTAAACGTATACCACACAACCTGCTTAAACTATAAATTAAGTACAGCAAATAGTAACAGAAAATTTATTTTCAAACAGTCGTATTTTTTCTTTTTTTTACAAAAAGCCACAATAACAAGACATAACCAGCAACATAATAAACTAAAACCTCTAGACTAACACTAGACGTAACGTTCTTTTGACTGATTGATACTTAAAAAACTATAACTAGCGAGACATTGAGGATATCACAGTATTTTCCGCCGCAAAAATACAGACCAAATGAACAATCAACAGAGACCAATCCAGGTATAAAACTAAGCTATGTTGGAAGGTCGCTAGAGAATCTATGTGGCAGGGCTGGCGTCCTTACGATAAACGCACTGCAACAAAACATATGTAATCAGTGTCTGTAACACGTCAAAATAACATGTGAGCAAATCAGCACTTGTAACTCCGTAAAACTACAAGAGGAAAAGAAGTTTAATGGGGCTTGCTCACTGAGCGCTATAGTCTGTATGATGTAACCTGTCTCTACCTGGAGACTGCCCAGACTTTAAAGCATTGGCCAATCCTCAGGAGACAGGTTACATCATACAGAGTATAACAAATATTTGGAAGTACCAAATCAATCAATCAATCATTGAGATGGGGACGCCACCTAGGTGCGTATTTTAACCCAAATGAGTGAAGGATGAGTGTAGAATGGTGTGTGATGACCTGTGTAGCTTTGTTACTGACTAAGATCAGCGGTTTCATTAGTCAGGATCATTTATTTAAAGCCACTCACACACTATAGCCCTATAGCACTATAGCACTATAGTTATTAGTGGCACTATAGCCACTCAGCTACCCAGCCAGTTTATACCAGTTTTACCCACACAGTACTTATCGAGGGATTTTGTAGTTTACTGGGGATGGTTTGGTCCTTTTTTTTAGGTTAGATTTGTGCATAGTCTATTAACGACCATTGGCTGGGTTACAAGATTTTCAAATTACATTAATTTTTTCATGACAATAATTATTGAAGTGAAGGGAATAGTGAATTATAAATTAACATCATCGCTTCTTAGTACACTTTATCGCTGGTATTACCATGAAAGTTATATTGAAATTAACGTGACCTAACCTTAGAATCTAGCAAGTACCTCAGGTTATCACTAGGCCTATTAAATAAAAGGTTATGAATTAACTTTTAAACTATTCTGTCCCAGGTTTTTTTTTAGAGAGAGAGAGGAGGTAAAATATGCTTTTACGCACACATGCAGCCAGCTTGTAGTGTGAGACTCCTGAACTTATCAGACTCACTAAAAACCCCCTCTACTCTGTTGGACAGACGTGGGATTGTTAGTCACATTACTTCAGGTCAAATAATATCAAGTATAAACAAAAATAAAAATAAATTTAAGCCTAAATTAAAAGTGTCATGGTCAAAGAAAATTACAACAGTAATATTGAGGTCTGTTCTGCCCGGAGACCAAAAAAACCTAATAAATAAAAAATCACAGAATAATAATCAACAGTATCGAGTCCCCCTAAATAGTGGAGGATGAGGGAAAACAAAATATTGGTATCAGATTCAAACTAGCGACAGGAGCTAGATAGAGACCTTAATTTTCTGAAAAACCTTGAATAAAACTGAATTAGGTGTCGTAAGATAAAGAGAAAAACAAATTACTCACATTTATTAGAGCCCTAGACAAAGATGATGGAGATAACCTAGAAAGGTTTTTACCTGAAACAAATCATGCATTTGAAATTTAGTTGCATTTAATGAATAGCAATCTACTGTCAAAGATATAGTTGCTAAATAAAAAAGTCAATGCCGAACATATACATTCAGAGAAACCATAGAACTAGATTAAAAAAACATGAATTTCCTGGTTTTCCCAGTAATGATTCCCGGTCGCCAAATGTACCTTTTCCTAGGGGTGAGTGGGTCTCTTATATTTTCAGATAGGGATGAACCAACCCTTAGCCCAATGGATTGGTAAGGTCCGAAAAAGATTATGGGGGCCAAGCTCGGATCAAACTGAGCGCATATTTCTGCAATATCAGAAAGTGTTTGCAAAAATAGAAAATTTACAGTTTCGTTGCAATTATGGGAGATAATGATGTCGACATGACGGAAGATGTTCTTGAAATTTACCGTTATAGTAGAACACGTTTATGATTTGCCATGATCACAGCAATTTTTGCTATTTCACTATGACCGCTGAATATATTTTCGATCTCATTTCGCTATGACCGCTGAATATATTTTCGATCTCTTTGTTATAAGATATTCATGAGTTCACCACATAGCTGCAGAAGATGTTCTCGATTTTACCACAACTGCGTCAGATGTTTACGATTAATCCGTAATCACTGTCGATGTTCAGAATTATAATAATAATATAATGTTACCTTCTAACGTTCCAAAATGGTGTAGTCATACGACGCGTTTCGTCAACACAGTGACATCATCAGGTGATCCGCTATTGCTTCGTCTTGAACATTAACACAAAACAGTCATAACACATATCACGAACACATAATTACTACATTTAAGGACCGATCGGTATTGTCGTCGCTGTGGCCACAACTCGCGTACGCACATGATTAATTCTGGGCGACGATTAAATGTAGTAATTATGTGTTCGTGATATGTGTTATGACTGTTTTGTGTTAATGTTCAAGACGAAGCAATAGCGGATCACCTGATGATATCACTGTGTTGACGAAACACGTCGTATGACTACACCATTTTGGAACGTTAGAAGGTAACATTATATTATTATTAATAAAAGACGTTCCAGTAGTAGGAATGAATTCTAAATCAGAATTATGCTGTGACCGTTGAAGATGTTATCGATCTAACTGTGTCCTTTGAAGACCTCCGTGTCTAGACATACACGCTGGACCCACAGCCGTTCCGTAATAATTAGTTGTATGGCCATGGAGTAGTTTTTGTTTAAGTATTTTTCCGCAGTCATTTTCCACTTATATGTTTAAAAGACATTTGACAAACTCCTAGGAGCAAAAACTTCCCGTCTACTGGTTTCACAATAACACTTTAAGAGTTTAAAAACCAGTCGCCTTTCAGACGTTCAAAGGTTACTCAGACAACCGAGTGTTACCTCTTGTCAGTGTTGGGGAAGCTACTTTTAAAATGTAACTAATAACTTGTTCTATGAATAACACTTTTCAATGTCAAGAAATTGTCCTTTGCCATTATGCATAGGTCAAATTGTGCTTCAACAAACGTTGGTGCAGAAAACAGTATTCAGCAACTTATCCTAAACTCGGCTTTTAATTTAAACATGCTGAAAATTGTTAAGTAGAAATAACATTTAGGCGTACTTGGCTTTGTAACAAGTTGGCTTGTTCTTACAAGGACTAAACAAATATATTCCTATTAATTGAACTTGGTATTTGTATTAATCCAATAGCATAGCCTAGGAATAGTCCTTGACAAGAGCTGTTAGCAGGAGCAAACTACTGTATGCTACTTTTTCAATGCAAGTTTCATGTTATATGGAGATTTTTTTGTTACAATTACTATGTATTCTAGGCATATCTTAAATCTCATCAGGAAATTTCCTCTTCGTTCATTTAGAACCTTTGAAAAATCTTTATAATCTAACCAAGGAAGGGCTTGTGATGATGAACCACATCAACAGCTGAAGCAAAGGTTGATAGACCAGCTTTCTCATTATTTTAAGGTTTAGTGTTGGTTTCCGTTAAAACCCAAGTTTAAACTAAATTGATACAATAAAGAAACTAAATTGATTACTAATTTCCCTGTCAATCACTTGCAAGCATTCAATACTTCTCTTGTCACCGGTAACGTTTAAACGTCGTCTGCATCTAGCGATTTTATTTTATCTGACAGTAATCATAGAGTAGCAAATGAAGGAAATGAGAGCCAAATATGTGGATAACACTCAGATAATGGCCTCCATGGCCACACAAAGTAATGGGTAATGAAACGACTGTGACCAGCTGTATGAAGCCAAGACAGTAGGCCTAATTTTCTTGAAAATCTCAGTTTGAAAAAGGTTGTTTCACGTGAGGTTGTGATAAAAATCACTATCTCAATCAATGTTAATGTAGCGAGAAAAGTAGCTAAAATTCCGCTACAACTTACAACTTTAAAAATGTAGCTAGCTACAGCTAAAACTACAAAATCTTAAAAGTAGCGTAGCTACAGCTAACGCTTCAAAAAAAGTAGCGCGCTACTGTAGCGTCGCTACTTCCTAACACTGACTCTTGTATAGCATAATTGATAAGTAATCTGGAAGGCAACACCTCAAAAGTTTAGTTTTTTCTCATTACTAAGATTTATAAAATAGTACAATTTGTTTAACAGAATAAAAATTGAATTTAATGACTATCGATTGCAATAGAAACCATCCACAGGACCAACAACATTTTGACTCGATAACGATATAAAATAGAACCATTTTTCACTATTCAGTTTAGCTTTTTTATTAAGTGCAGTCACAGAGAAGTAAGATAAAGAGGAAACATGCTTATGGAACAACCGTGCGCTTTTAGCTCTGGAATGGCGGGGCGGAAATATACTAGTACCGAGCTAGGAAGAGGCTGAACGGCTATTGTTTACAAGCAGTAAGAGCGCACAAGCTGTAGTACGTGATGGCGAGGGGGTAGAGGAGAGCGGAAGGGGACGACCAATAGAATTTGCACTAGACACAAGCGACTGGTGCTATACACGAATTAAGCGTACCAATGAATGTTTCCTCTGTATCTTTACTTCTCTGTGGTACTGTACTTGATCAGTACGCCTGCTCTAAATGTTTATGTTTTTTCGTTGCGTGTGTAGTGTGTATATTTATTTGACTTGACAAATCTAATTTGGACGAAACATTCTTGTAAAGATCACCTGACGATGCCTGAATAGGCAAAACATGTAGTGAGTTTCACCACCACTTATTGAACTGTTGACGTAAGGTATGTACTTATTGTTTGATCAGTAGACTTACGTTTAGCTGAGTCCAGGAACGTAGCTCGCCAGCCAGCCTCCCACTATCACCACCAGGATTGTGACGCAAATCATGATCATGATCTTCTTCTGTAAACGGCAGACAAAAATAGTGTGAGAAACATAAACATCAAACGTTATAACAATTATTTCAAATAATATACTTGTTGGTTATATAGAACACCTAGTTAAATATTTTTTACTGGGCTTAAAAAGTGTTTTTGGACATTTTTGGAAGAACTCGAATTGGCCTGGATGATATGTTTTGATAGATAGAATATGGCTGCCAAACTATCACATGTAAATTTAGGTTAGGTTTGGTAACCAAAAAGCTTATAGATCGTGTCAATTAAAAAGGTTATCGAGTTTAGTATTCGTACAACTCCTCCCCCGCACACAACAGTCGGCTCCATTAATTTTGCTTTTTTCGTCCTCTATTAATTGGTTGAATAGGTTCTCTGTGCAGTAAGAAAATCTTAGTTAAATGTTAAGACCGTCAGTGTGCTCCAGAAAATACTATGGAAGAACACAATTGCATTATGATGAAAAACTAACCTAGCCACTACAGTGGCTCTATAAATAGGAATTCTGGGTAACCAATACGTATCTAAATTACATTATACAAAATTTCATGTCTGATAATACAGAAAACAGAATATTTGCACTCTGACAAATAAATAAAATGTTATTGAGTGTCTGGGTTATCTAGAAGTGCTTAAGATTAATACTTTCAAAAAATAGTAGTGTAGGTAGTTTAATGTTTATTGAATTTTCAGAGTGTGCTGTTTATTATCTGGGCAAGGGAAAGAAACGGAAGATTTATTTTCCTGAATTGTCAGACATTAAGTGTAAAATATTGATTAGAAAATTATTATTTGTTGATGAATACAAGGTAAATTTTGCATTTTGAATTAAATTTTAAAGAATGAATTATTAATGAGTCACAATATTCAATAAAAAAAAAAACTGTTCTACATTTTATGAAACATAACATCAGTAAAAAATTTGTAAAGATCTGATTAATTCTTTATGGATTTAAATTCAAAATAGATAAGTGGAAAATTTTAGAAAGATTTCTTAGCAGTCTAAAACTAAAGAAAAACTTAATAATAATGACACACAATTAATTATAACCAAATCACATAATATGAGGGTGGAAAAATAATTGGGCTGAAATAAAAAAAATACCCACTCTCATAAGTTTTGAGAATTATACGAATCAAAGAGCCTCGAAAAATGAAGAAGTTAATTTGTTTGTTGACAAGTAACAATTCCAATAGTCAAATACTAACTTACTTACTGAATAAATTAGAAAATCCCAATATTTCAGCTCACCTTTCATAAAAAAATATAAATTTAAAAGAAATGTAAAATATCTTAAGATTTTTTTCCATATCAAAAATTAGTTTCTGTCAAGTTATAGGACAATGTTTATCCGTTATTTGGGTTTTAAAATATTAAAGATTGATTGAATCTGTGCAAAAGTTAAGCTAATGATCGCATATTACAAAATACAACCTTCTAACATGGGTGTGTAAATGCTTTGATTTCGGCTGGTGATTTTTTTAAATACTTAAATATACTAAACCATTGGAAAAAATACACTTACAATTTTAAAATACATGATTTTGGAAATAAATAATCTTCGTTACAAATAAAAAATGTAAATATACACTCACCTGGTGGTGGTTTCTGAGAATTACAAATATGAAACCGTAAACAAAAAAGACGAGGACGAAGGAAAAGCTGAACAAAAGAACAGGTTACAATCTGACACATTTTTCCAAAAATTTGGTCGCTATACAATTATTGAAATGAAATAAGTGGCAACATAATGTAAATCATCTCTACAAAAAGTATCTTTGGCTTCAACAAAACACATTTGAACTTGTTTTATAATAATTTAAGCTTAGGGAATGACTTATGATGAGTTATAGCAACTGTTATGACCCATCAACCTTGTCAGCAACAAAAAAAGGTATAAAATAGAATTTCAGACACTAGCGCATTCTGTGACTGACTCCCACAACTACATTCTTTTTTAATATAAAATTGGCGACAGCTGGTCCATATAGATGGGAATATTATAGGAAGTCTACTTCAGTATCCAATAGCTTATTTACAAAATGTTGAAAAACAGCTGTTTTCAATGGATTTTGCAAATCTTGTATAATACTTTTAATACTCTTCTGTCAAGAAAAAGAATCAGCTGTTGCCAGGATTACCAGCTGTTTCATTATTTGTTAGCTTATTGCTAAAATGAGCTGCAAACACGCTGTAGGCTACTGTGGCAGAAAAAAAATCATAATAAAGAAAAATCAACAAAAAATATATCACTTGTTACCGAAGCAATTAGTTGTAAATTATTATTGTAATTCATTGTAGCATTACAGGGTTTTTGTAGTTAATTGTTACATAATAGTTCAAGTAAACGGTACGAGTGACATGGAAAGTTAAAAGTTAAGGTATTGTATTTACCCAATGTTTCCGTTTTATATTCCAATTTTAAATTACCTAACATAAATGTAATTGCTGTCAGGAAAAATTTAAGGGACATTGTAGTTGAACATAGGTTTCATAAAGCAAAGGTAGATTATTTGAAATAAACTTTAAAAAGTGAACCAAGTCAAAATAGTCTTAGAAAGTAGTAGTCTTAGAATAGTAGAATAGTAGAATAGTAGAATAGTAACTTAGTAAATAGCCATATTTACTAAGTTACTATTCAAAGTACAATACTTTTATGAACAAAAGGAATTGGAACAAAATACTATACAATTAAATTAAATATTGATTGATGAAATTTTATAATGGGCAATCACGAGTTGGAATAAACAGAAAAAACTAATCAAGTTCATTACTGAATCAGGTACATAATTTAATCATCATATATTTGAAATGAATCTAGATTAATTGAATATCAGTTTACTGGAGATCAACTTAAGTAATGGGTACGTAAGGCACTTAATCAAAAAGAGTCCCAAAAATTACAATGACTGCCAGTAGGATTAAAATATTAAAAGTTTTTTTTATGTCTTGGAAACAAAAAAAAAATTTAAATGTTTTCATAAAGTTAAAAACCCTGAATAAGGGTTTAAATAATTTGATTTCTTATAAAGCCGTGGAAATATTGTTCACTACATGATTGTATGAAGAGATTTCAAAGCTCATCAACAAATAACATAGCTCAACAAAAATTCGTTAAATCACAATTTGTAAAACTAAATCAAAACAAATCTTTATTAAAATGTACCACAACAACAAACTTGCTAAAAAGAAAAAGTACAAACGGGACAGTAAAAATAAAACACAAAACATACAAAATATTTCATAATATTAATAATTTAAATATATATACATATAAAACAATTTGGCTCATAAATAATAGTAACAAACACAAGTATAAAGTATAAGTAAATTATATTCTTGCGATGGGTTCGAAACCGTAGAAAGCAGAAATATACAATAATATCAGCAGAAATCAAGTATAGAGAGTCTAAACCCAATAGGATCACAGCTTAAAGAAATATTTTTATGGTTTAACCATTCTTGGTAAAATATGAATGAGTACTGATAATTTGAATCACCTCGATAACAAGTTGTTTAAAAGCCAAGAAGGTGAAGTGGAAAATACTATAGACTTTTTTGAGTAACTCAAAGAACCATGTACTCACACATTTGAAAAACAAATACCTAAATTACACATCTACACATTGCTTTTAACATTCATAACAGGTTGTTTAATACAACAGAAAATATCACAAGAGTTAAACAATCCTTGGAAATATCTTTAAATTTAAACAGTTGACATTTTAGTAGTTGAAAACAACAATTTTTTTACATTCGTTTTAACATAGACAATGGGTGGAACAAAATGTATTCAGAAAGGGGAAAAAGTGCAACTGAAATAACTGCATTAAAACAAATTATTTGGATTATGTAGCACTTTTGGTTTGAAAATTATTGGATTTTGGTTATGTAAAGACAATATCAGTCACAACATGGACTTGAATAACAAGCCAGTGGTAAATGAAAAACATTAATAGATTTAAGAGCTTTTAACCTATTACAAGTGTGTTCGATATCTATTGAAAATAATTGACAGAAAACCAACTAGGAGCACCATTTTTAGTTTATTGATTGAGTGAAACTGCAAAATCGTTGGAATAAGTTCACTTTTTCATCTCAATAATAGTTTTTCTATCGCTCCAATCACAAAAGGCTCTTATGTTATTCATTCTTATACCTACAGAAACATCTTCTGGGATTTCTAAGTCACATTAAATAAACAGTAGAATGAGAACTGACAAAATAATGGAACAAAAAAAACTATTTATTAAAACCTTTGGCACTAGGTAAACTGAATTAAGGCAAAACTAAGAAATAATAATAACATTATTTAAACTCATGTGCGTAATTATTTAACAGTAAAGCTTTAAGAGAAAAACTTCTCTTCTAGTAATAAATGCACCATTAAGATAAAACAAGAATTGCACAATGAAATACAGAAAACTTTACGAGAGAGCATAAGCACCTGGTTTTTAAACGAATAGGACGGAAATAAATACATATTACACTCCATAAACAATGTAGGAAACATTTTGTGAAAAATATAATTGACATAATTGTCCGAATTTGTTATTTCTAGTTCCGTCTAAATGGTAGAGTAAAGAAATAATAAAACTATTAGATAAGCAATAAAGCACGTAAAAAACAGAGCGACCACGTAAGACAAAGAGATGTTTGTTATACAGAATTGTCTTCAACACGACAAAATTCTATCTGTTTTTACTATCATAAATACTAGAAAAATTAACATTTACATAGAATTCTATAGGTAACTAACTAGTATAATAAAATACTGCCTTGTGGTCACCCGAATTTCAAAAACGTAACAAAGTTTTACGTTTTCAAACAAAGCTAACACAATTTCATCTAAATCTCTTAACAAATTGTTTTACGTTAGAATTAATTATTGTTTTAAGTTTCACAAGATCGTAAAATACTCTAATTGTTATAACACGAGATTCATTTTAAATAGAAAAAATTGCTTCCCTAAGATTGATCTAACAGTCTTGTCATGTCGGGGTAAC